CCTCCAATTTCCTCCAATGATCCTCCCCTTCTGGTATTCACATGTTTTTGTAGACCCCTCATACATTGTAGCGGCATTATAAACAGAATCTTAGCCATTCACCCAAGATTCATATCCCTTAGTGTATTAAAAAGGAGCCCTGGTGTGGCGCTGTTGGATAAGGTCGATTTGAAATTGCAAGGTCGGCAGTTCAAACCTCACCAGTCATTCCTCAGAAACCCACTACAGGGTCTCTAGGAATCTCTATGAGTCGGAAAACCATGGGTTAAGCATTAGGCTGCTAACTGCAAGGTCAGAAGTTCAAACTGTCCTATGGGAAAGTTTTACTGTCTTGGTATGGCGCTGCAGGATAATGCACTGGACCAAAAGGTCAGTTTGAACTGCAAGGTTGGTGGTTCAAACCCATCAGTTTCTAAGCAGAAATCCTAGACAGGGTCGCTTTAAGTCAGAATCAACTTGCTGGCACTTAACAACAGGGTTGCTGAGTCAGAACCCCATTCGATGGCAGACTTTGGTATGGGTTAGAGTTGTAGAGGAATAGAATGCCACTTCTAGAATGAGTTTTTACAAGCTCTTGTAGCTTCTGTGTTAGTAGCTCTCTCTCACTCTCTCAGTTATTTCATTCTGAGGAATCCCATTTGCCATGTCATGAGGTCCTATGGAAAGGCCCACATACTAAGGAAAGGAAACCTTCATCCAACAGTCATGAGCTTTCCTAGAAGCTGTCTTAATCCCAGGCAAACCTTCAGATAATTAAAGTCCCAGACAACATCTTGATGAAATTTCTTTAAAGATCTTAAACCAGTACCCCCGCCGCCCCCCAGCTATGTCATTCCTAAATTCTTGGCCATAGAAAAGGTGAGGTAATAAATGTTTGAAATACTTATTGTTGTAAATCACTAAGGTTTGGAGTAATTTGATATGCAGTTATAGATAATGAGTATATCATGAAAGAAAGATTGAGAAATGATTTTAGATTAGATGAAATTAGAGAACCATGATACATTTAATATATAATCTTATATAGAAACCAGATAAGGAGTATGAATGTGGTGACTGGTAAAATTAGAGTGAGGTCCATAGATAAACAGTAATATACCAAAGCTCACTTTTTGGGTTTAGACAATTAATCTATGGATATATTGAATGTTAACATTAGCAGAAGCTGTTTAAGTTTATTTCTTTATTTGCAACTCTTTATAAGTCTCAAAATAATTATAAAATGATAATTATAAAACAAAGACAAACTATATCTAAGAACTCACAAGTAAATCTTAAGGAAAAATCTTTTAAACTAAATTTTAACTAAAGTACTAAAATATGGTTTAATCCAATTTACCCATTCAGTTTTTTTTTTAAATAGGTTACACCTTTTACTACTTATTTTTGATTCCTTGTGTTATTGTATTTGGCACAAATAAATTCAACTCAAAAGTGCATTTATACCTCAAATTAATTGCCAATCTGATTTTAAAGATATAAATCTGTTTTGATAAGGCAATCTAAATTAAATATGTTGTTGTTGTTATGTGCTGTGGAGTTGGTTCTGACTCATAGCAACCCTGTACAGGGTTTTCGAGGCTGTAAATCTTTACAGGATCAGAAAGCCTCATCTTTCTTCCATGGAACAGCTGGTAGTTTCAAACTGCTGATCTTAAGATTTGCAGCCCGATTTGTAACCACTACACTACCAGAGTGTAGGATAAATATATCCTTTCCAAAATACATTGCCTTTGCAAGCTGTCAGATATCTTATCATCAATCATTTGAAAGGTACATCCTACTTATACTGATCTTCTATATCAATTGACTATGCATTGTAACTATTGTGTGAAAGAACTCTACTACTATACATACATTAAAGTGATTTTTTATGGAATTAAATACATTTATTGAGGTACAAGAAATTACTGAATTTAGTAGATCACATTTGTCACTTTAAAAAAATCAATGATTTTCCCGTTTTGATCCATAAAATATAATAATAGTCATAAACAGATAGATAATATTTTTAATTTTGTTATTTAATTATATAAAAATCATAAAAGAATCTGGTACAAAAAATCTGCCTTTGTAACAGGAATTATATATATTTTGTATAATTATTTACAAAAAACAAAATCTTAAAAAATAATAGATATAAAACTTTATTTACAGTACCCAAGATTTAAGTAATTAAATCAATTACATACATTTTTTTCTTCTGTGTATAAGATTTTAACATTTGCTTTTCCTACATGTAAAGAAACTCAAATGCTAAGTTAAAAGTTTTAAAATATATATCCAATTATGTGCAAAATTCCTAACAAGCCAGCTTATGAATTAAAACTTACTGAAAAAACAGTATGAATTTTGAAAAATACATACTATAGAAAATTTTACCTCTAAAAATAGCATTTTAACCAATACAATCTAGAAAAATCCAAAATGAAAAATTATGGTCATAATTTCTGGTAGTGTCTATATTGCCATCTTGTAAGAGGTATTCTTGGTAAATGTGCATTTTACAAATGACAGTCTGATTCCTTTTAAGTGTCAGATTTATTTTCACTTTAACCATTTGTATTTAAAACTTTATTAAAATGTGTCTTCTTATAAGACTGAACATGTAACTCATGATAATCAAAAATTTTAATGAATACCAATTATTTATGACTTTATTTATCAAACTATGTACTTCTATATATGGGATGATTTTTCCTTTTAAGTGGCCCTAGACTAATATGCTTTTATAATTATATTTTCTTTCCTGCTGTCATTTTACCTCTCATCAGTGATCTATATCAGATCTCAAACTCCATCATTGTTTTATAGCCGCAAAATTCTATTAAGCTCCCTATTTCCACTATAGAAGAAAGAAAGTTTAAATGCTCCTTTAACTTTGCTATAACAAGAAAACAGCATGTAAAATACGTGACTGAGTGGGAGAGACACTGCTCCTGAATTGAGGTAGTCTATGTTTGTTCCCAGCCTATGTTGCACTGTCTCTTTGGTTGCTATGAGTATTCTGTTTACCAACTACCTGCATTTTTGGCTACCCACATTTTGGCTGAAGCCTTCTTTTGTTTTCATACATTCCTGGTTTAAGGAAACCTGTCTTCCTGATTCCTGAACCTAAAACAAAATCCAGTACAATCTAGTCAATTCCAACTCATAGCGATTTTATAGAACTGAGTATAAGTGTGTACGGTTTCCAAGGCTGTAAATCTTTATGGAAGCAGATTGTCACATCTTCATCAAAGCGGCTGGTAGTTCAAACCACCAACATTTTGGTTAGCATCTGAGTGCTTTAACAACTGTGTCACCATAATAATATCAGGTGTGAAATATCTTGTCTGAAATAAAGTGTAGGAGTTAATGTTTTGATCAAATGGTGATAACAAATGCTTATTATTTACAAAGGAAAACTATAAGTAATATGTTAGGTGGTATGTTTTCAAACTAGAAATACCAAAAAAGCATTGAATAAATAAAAGTTGATCCACACACAGTTTAAGAAATATTTTCATATCTAATTGGCACTTTTTTTTCAAACTGAAACTTATAACTTTGTTCATGGAAGGCACATGTCATGGATTGAATTGTGTCCTCCCAAAATATGTCACCTTGACTGGGCCATGATTCTCAGAGATATAGAAGTTCTGCGATAATGTAAAAATCTCCCATAGTGTGATCTGATGTGATCAGCCAAGTAAGGGGTTACAGTGAAAGGTAACACACTTAATCAGGTCACAGCCCTATCCCATGTAAGGTGAGCTTCCCTGGTATGTGACCTACAAGAGGTGAAAGGAGATGGAAACAAGCAAAGAGGAAGGACCTTAGTATCACCAAGAAGCTCCTAGACCCAGTGAGGTTGATGTCAAGATACACAGAGATCTCCATGGGACACTAGGCTCATAGATGTTGAAAGGACACAAGGACCTCCCAGAGCTGACAAAGAGACAACACCTGGTACCCTGAATTCAGACTTCTTTCCTCCTAAATTGTGAGAATAAATTTTCTTTGCAAAAACCATCCACTTATAGTATATTGGTAATAGCAGCAGTAAATAATTAAGAACATATGTGGAAGGGTGCTTTAAAAAGTTCATGGAAAATGGAATTTAAAAATAATGGCATTTTTCAATGAATTTTTTAAAACCCCTTAGTATAATTGAGGAATCCTGGTGTAGTGATGTGCGCTAATGCTCTGGACTGAAAAGTTGGTTTGAACTGCAAAGTCAGCCACTACTTGGAACCCCTATACAGGGTCTCTATGGGTTGGAACTGACTCAACAGCACTTGAAAACAACAGGTATAATTGAGCTATTCTAATGCAGATTCATAAATGTTAGTTCAAAAATCAACAGTATCAACAAATTACCTCCTGGAATTCTTGAATTCAAATGAAATGATGATGATATTCCTGTTTCCTTATCCCTTATTTCCTCATTCTTGGGACATAATGTAGATAAATAACTTGCTATTATAAATAAAGATTTAACAAGTATGTATAAAATTTAAAACAAATAATGCTATATAACTGGTTTTAGATTCATGAATTTTAATAATAATTCATGAACCCTATAATATGAATTTGATTAATTTAAAATTTTATATTATAAATTTGCTAAATAATCTTACACTATTGACAATAATAAAATAAAACAAGCTTTAAGAGGGACAGAAATATTCATGGCCCCTTTAGAATGTAAACATTTAATTAATCACTGGCTTTTTTCAAGTTTAGTTTGTCACTAGCTGGGGATTTCAAAGCTAGACAATGAAAAATAACTGAATATGTGCATGTTTTGAGGTGTTTATTGTGCTTTGAACGCACATGTCTAGTTCTTATATTAAAGCAAAACAAAATAAAACCCATACATATTCAGGCAATATATTCAATTATAAAACATCAATTACTTATTACAGTTGTTCATACTAGGTAGATAATGCTGCAATGGAATTGTACACTCTTGAAAGTCAAATTTCCAGATTTAAAATATTCTCGTTTCTTCTTATTCAGCCTTCATTTTCTCCTTTGTTGCGATCACATTCTACTGAAACAGTATTCACAACTGAATTTTGAGTTTGAAATGACACATCTGTACCTGATGAAGGTGGTTTATACAGAAAGACTGCAAGTCCATTGAAGAAAATGGTGACAACTTTACAAGTTACACCTAGGTATAAAAATAAAAATAATATGCATGAAATCCCTTGATTATTAAAAATTCTTATATGTTTCTTATTATAAGAAATTCTTCATGAATAGGAACTTATTATTTAGAAGAATTAGGAAGTATCAAGGTGTAGAGTAAAATTTCTCAATGAAACATTTGAATACAATTCAATAAACTAGTATTTACTTGGTTTCTAAAAAATGAAAATGTGTAATGACTATTCTATTTTTAATTATGATTATGTATATATTTTTAAGTTGTTAGTTGAGGTGACCATGACTTATGTCTGTCCCAGGATTATCAGAGTAAAATTCTGCTCCGTGGGGTTCCCAATGGCTGATTTTTCAGAAGGAGGTTACTAGGCATTTCTTCCAAGGAGCCTCTGGCTGGACTCAAACCTCCAACCTTTGGTTAATAATCAAGCACGTAAATTTATTAATACACTAGCATGTTATAAGTTAATAATAAAGAAAAAGAATTTATACTGTGTTTGAACCTAAAAAGTTGTGGAAATTTTAATGTATATGATAGAAAATATCTCTAAAAGTGAAAATAAAAACTTTTTAGTTCTTGGGGGAAAGCCTGTATGGGACATACTATATTCAGCCAAACTTGCTTTTAATTAGCTACAAAAATGAAACATTTAGGATTCACTTCAAAGATTGTATTTGTTTTCAAATTATTTTGTGTTTGCTTCCTGGAATGGTAGTGTAGGTTTAAAACCCACCAGTTGCTCCTCAGAAATCCTATACAGGGTCACTGTAAGTTGGAAACAACTAGTTGGCACTTACAACAACAGCATATGAAAGAAACTAATTCTAGACACTGTTTAAGTACTAGTCAAACTATTAAACAGCCTCATAAAGTAGCTGATTCATTTTGTTAATTACTAATATTTTACTCAAAAAATATGTAATTGTAAAGCAGACTGTTCATTTATCCACATATTACTAATTTTATAAAATTAATCTCATAGGTCCTAGTTTTATTATTTATTTTCCCTGGGAAAAAAATTATAAAAGTGTGTCTATTTGGGGGTTGGGGTGGGGATAGGAGGAACTTCACAAGCATCAATCACTGATTAGGAAAATTAATAACTCATTTTTCATATATTTGTTCAAAAAGTAAAACAAACCAATTAAAAAATTTAACAAAAGAATTAAATAAAATATATTTTAAATCAATTGTTATTGTTAGGTGTCATCAAGCCAGATCCAATTCATAGCAATACTATGAACAATATTTTAAACATCTTTTGCATCAGGATTGATTTCTTGACTGTTGTTTCCATGAGCATAGGCTATATATGCAAGCTAAAAGAAGTCTTTGATAACTTCAAACTTTTCTCTGTTTATCATGATGCTATTTATTGGTCCAGTTGTGACAATTTTCACTGTCTTTACATTGAAGAGAAACATTAAACTGCAGCATGTTTAGATATGCTAATATAGTAATAAATTTATATGTTTGGCTATTAACCAAAGTTTGGAGGGCCTTTGATCTTCATCAGTATTTCAAGTCCTCTTTGCTTCCAGCAAGCAAGATTGTATCATCTGTATATTGTAGGTTGATAATGAGTCTTATTCCGATCCTGATGCCACCTTCTTCTTCATATAATCCAGTTTCTAAAATTATTTGTTCTTTTTAAGGCAGCTTTTCAAACACATTTAAAGTCTCTCACAACTGTTGAGCTTTCTACAGGATTATAGAATGGCCTAGAATTTCATAATAACTATGAAATTACATGGCTAATAATTTGTTTTATTAACATTATTTAATGAACATTACTAGTTAACTCTAGAGTTACAAAGAATTTACCACTTACTTATTGCCACTAGCATATGTGCCATCTTTATGTTATTATAAACCCAGCAAGCTCCTTTGACTCCACATTCATTAATATCCCAAAGAATACATGTGCTGTCAATTACCGTACCAAATATAATTGGTCCAGGTATTGTGCCTAAAAGAACATGTGAAACACATGAAGAAAGATTACAGTTTAAAAAATTTTTATATACACAGTTATATACATATTTTGTGTAAATAAAACATAGGTATGCATTTTTCTTTTTTTTTCATAAGGAGCTCTGGTAGCATAATGGTTAGAAATTGGGTTGCTAACCTCACAGCCAGCAGTTCCAAACTAGCACTGTTCCATGGGAGAAAGATGATGCTTTCTGCTCCAGTAATGATATACAGCCTCGGAAACCCTGTACAGGGTCGCTATGAGTCTGAACCAACTCCTCGGCACATAACAACAACAATATATTTTTCATATGCAAATTAATAAATTCATGAACAAGCCAAAGCACTATATATAAGCAGACAAAACACTCTGAAATTATATTGTATAATAAGATCATGTTAAACATTTCAGAGATTATTTTAATAAAAGCTCTAGAATATACTAGGATCTATAAGACCAACAGATCTGTGTGGTTAGAAGTGCAGCCAGAGTGTTTCTTGGAGGCCAGGATGGCCAAACTTCGTCTCTCATACTTCAGACATATTGTCAGAAGGGACCAGTTGCTGGTGAAGGATATCATGTTTGGTAAGGTGGAGGGTCAGAGAAAAAACAGGAAGAACCCTAATGAGATGGATTGGCCAAGCAGCAGCATCAATGGGCTCAAGCATGGCAACAATAGTGAGGTTAGCCCAGGATCGGGCAGTGTTTCGTTCTGCTGTGCATAAGGTCGCTCTGCTGTGCATAGGGTCGCTATGAGTCGGTACCGACTCAATGGCACCTAACAATGACATAAGTTAACTACATATTTTTAATTCACTGTTTTTCTACTTTAATAAATGTCTTTGAAATTTGCACTCAAACAATGAAAGAGAATTATTCTTGATGAATAAGTCGGAACTATACATGATATATGCAGAGTTGCTGAGTCAGAATCAACTCAACCACAAAAATATATGATGTAATGTGTGTATATATTTGTGTGAGTACATGAAAATGTGCATGTGTATACACATACACATACTAATATGTCTAGAAGTACTACTGACCCACACATCTCCCCCAATGAAACCACAAGACACTAAACTTCCATATAGTGAAGGAATTTTCAATTTTTATAAATCAAATACATGTTTTGATGTATTATTGTTAGACAAAAAATTTGGCTACATTCATTCTTTACTTTCACTAAAGATAGAGTACAAACAGCACTAGACTTAGAGTTCTTTTTCCTAGTCTAATTTTCATTGCTAATTATGGAAATATGGAAAAACTCCTGCACCTCTTAATGCACATCTCTGAAAATTGAGAACGGTGATTTCTACTCTTCCTTCCAACTTTATTTTTGTTTAAAAAAAACACATTTAATATTATGCTTATTATATATCACTCTTTGTATTCTTCCTACATGTGGAATTTCTCTAGTAGAGTTTCTTTCTTTCATCAATTCTTACCTAGCCACAATATCGATACCACAGTGTTTATTGAAATATTTTAACTCATATTTCATTGCTAATATAACATAAAAGTATCATAAATAGAGATAAAAGCAGAAAGCTTTTAATATAGTGATGATAAATAAGATTTTATCAAAATTGATGCTGTTAATAGATTTTATATCAGTATGTTGTTGTTAAATTCTATCAAGTTGGTTCCAACCCATAGCGACCCTGTATAGGGTTTCTGAGGAGCAGCTGGTGAGCTTGAACCACCGACCTTGCAGTTCAAAAGGCTTTGCAGCCTGATTCATTAGTCCACAGCACCACACCAGGACTATATACAACTATGCAATTTTTTGCTATGCTCTGTTGTTAACCTCAAGGTCAGTAGTTTGAATCCACAAGCCACTCAAGGGAGAAAGAGGAGGCTTTCTGCCCCCATAAAGATTTACAGCCTCGGAAACCTTATACAAAGGTCACTATGAGTTAGAACTCACTCGACAGCCACTACCTTAGATCACAAATAAATACAATACACCCTCTGTTAAGTTTTTATTTGCAACAGAGTTGAAAACAATAGTTAACCAGTCAGATACAAGGAAAATGAAGTCATTATTTTCTTATATA